TGCATCGGCATGCAATAGGTGTATCGGAAGGAGTGACACTGCTGGAATTCGAGGAACCGAGCGAGCAGCAGCAGCCGACACCGGAGATTCAGGAGGAGCAGCCTTCAGGAGAAGTGCCAGACGAGGTCGCCGTTGAGTGCCCAGATCGTCGTCCGTGCAACTTTGTGAAAGGCAAGCCCCGGAGCATATTAAGCCTCCTAATTTTTGAAATACAGTTACAGTATTATTGTTACACATATATATTGTTGCATTAAGTTTAGGTGTTGGATGCAAACACTTGCTGCATTGGTTATCCAATCCTTGTCCAGATATTGATACCCTGAATCCTATGTAGCTCAGGCTCGTGTAGTGCTTAGCCCTGCTCAAACACGGTAGAAGTCGGGTGATTTCCTGTCACCTGTGAGATATAGGAAGATACATATAGCACGGTTGGCTATCTTTGCTATCGTGGAAAAGAATCAGTCTTAATTTGAAATGAAGACCGGACGGAGGCTTGCCGGTTTGCAGTGACTCCGTCTGTGTCGATTAAGGACTGAATCTTGGAGCCTTTCCTGTTCATGTTGAACGCATGCCTCTCTCTTAGTTGGCCGTGTCCGATGACCGACCACAAAGCCGAGTAGCTCACCTCAGGCCGAGAGTCGATAAGTATAAAGTGCGCCTCGGAAGGGAGCCGTAGGCGTGAGTCCAAGGGCAGGTGATTTAAAAGTCCTGATCGTCCTGGCAGAAGGGTAATCCCTGAGAGTGCTGGCGCTGATCGAACCCGTGAATTTGGTTTCTGAGTTGTTCCAAAGGTGACCCATGGCTACCCTTGCAAAGTATGTCAGGGTGAGAGTTAGGAATACCCCCTCAGCTGAGTTGTAATTCGATTCGAGTCGCCGTCTCTCCCGGTTAGTGAGAACTTCACAGGCTTATCTCCAATGTAGATACACTAAATAACATAATGGTTCGAAAATGATGATATGATGATGACAGCCTTATTATACCTGCTATGGTTAATATTGTTTGCTCCTAATAAGTGAGTGCTCTAGTACATGTGCTAATCTAGTGGGCAGGTAAATGATGATAAGCTTGATGCTAAGTTTAAATTGGTCACTATATTCATAAGCTCTTTTATGCAACTGTGTTAAGCTAGCCCACCTCATAAGCCTTGCATGATCCTTTGTGTCTTTTATTTCTGGTTTTGTCGGGTAAGTCTAGCTGAGTACCTTCTCGTATTCAGGGTTTATCTCCCACCTGTTACAGATGACTAGTTCTACTTTGGTTGCTGCAAGTACTGCCTTCTCCCAGCTGGGGATGAAGACTAGATCGTTGGGCGCGGTCTCTACTAGTTCTCGTACCTGATAATGCTTTTGTGGGACATGACTCAAACTTGGCAATGTATTTGAAACTATGAAGTTATGTACTAAACTATGTTTGCTTCCGTAAATTTAAACCTGGTTTGTAATATTTTATTCGCACTCTGATGGATGTAATCCGAATGCTACTTATGAAATATTGTAACGGATGATGTGTTGTGTTGAATCACTACGGTCTTGGTTTGTATGTCGAGAGTTGGTTGAAATCCTTCGTGATTTCCGGACTACCGGGATTATGGGAGCTTAAGTACAGGAATTTGATCGCTTCGGTGATTGTTTTTGTACTTACGTTCTTATGATTTGGTCGGTTCTGTTACAATGTGTGTACTAATGTAGTCACATTTTGTAATGATGCCGTATTGTGTATTAAGAAGTATAGAGACGTTTGAGTAGATACATTTATATTATGTGTCTAACAATATAGATACATTATCTAGTAACATCATTTTGTGTTTCAAGAAAATATAGCAACAATTTTATACACACACTTATATTTCGTGTCTACTAATATAGGCACATTATATATCTTGTGTCTATTACTATAGACACATCTATGATCTATAGTAATGTCTTCTTACTTACAAGAAATAAAGAGGCATCTTTTACGAATTTGGACACAAATGAATTTGGATGATTAGATAATGAGAAAGTGAATCATGAAGACATTGCATTGAAAAATCTATTGTCTATACAAAAACAAGATGCTGATTAATAACTCGTTAAAGTGTACTGTCAAAGACAAACCATATTCATAAAGAAGCATAAGAAAAGAAAGTGGCAATATCATACAAATATCTATATTTTTTTCTAACATCTAAAATTTATCATGTTCACTCCGAAACTTGTAGCTTGTCTTTCCATCCACATCAAGTTACATGTTTCCATCATGCTGCAAAATAAGAGGAAATTAAGTTGACAGACATGAATTCTAATCAAACAGATCTAGCAACAAAACATACCAAGGTTGTACAGGTTTGAGTAGTAGTAAATATAAAAATTTGGATATCTTATATGGATCAAGTAGTGGTAAATATAGAATGTGTTAGGTTTTCAAAAAAAAAATATAGAAAGTGTTGAAGTCCCACTCTTCGTCAATTCGAGCCAACACTGATTATGTTAAGGATGACTGACCTTGTGTTTTTCAAATCAACATGCAACTGGCACAAGCGGAAATACCTACTCCCTTTCCAATTATACTATGTAATTTTTTTGCTTCAGGTGCATTAATAAAGACGCAAGCTAAAAACTAAACTTTGAGCTCATCATTTTAAGAGCCTATATATGGAATTAAATCTAAATCTAAGACTCACGTAATCTAAATCTAGAAACAATATTAAAGTAGACATCAAGTCTACAAGTATATTATAATAATGAAGGTTCGATCAAACAATGCCAACAATATAGACAACAAACTGTATATACTTGAAGGGATAGCCTAGCCTTGCCAGGCCTCAGTTTCTTAATAAAGACTAGTAAACAGCGTGCACCCTCACTTGCGTTTGTAAACACAGTATGTCTTATTTTACCAAGTAGTAAAGGCTAGGTCTAACAGGCACAAACATGTTCTAATGTCCATGTGTCATGCTGTTCAGTATCTCGAACTCACCTCTTTGCCAAGGGCTTTGATGATGAGGTACCACTATTTTTTAGCAACTTGAATAGTTTTGTCTGTATACATTTCTTCACTGGTTGCCCATTCCTGCATATATTAGATACATTGTTTAAGCAGCCTGTGGATTATGAAGTCGTATAAAAGGGCATGATTAAATATTTGAGCTGATTACTGGGTTCTAGACGAGGTTTTGTGTTTTCAGGTAAACACTATGAACAAAGTTGACTAAAGACGTGGCAGTGGCTTACCTCTTCAAGAATAATTTGGTCCTGGAAGAATTTCCTGCGAGCTGCTTCTGTATTTTCTCCTGAGCTGTTTTTAATTAGAGTGTAAAATTTGGGAAAAACTGAATGCGAAAACAAAATTTGAAAAGCCCGTGTGTAGAGTGAAAGGACAGAGGAAGACGTAGTAATAGAAAGAAGTAACTGAAGGTAATGGGTGTTCACTGGATTGCAGAACCCAAAATTAATGAGCCGAGTAATCCCGGTGAACTGATAAGGGGCAACGCAATGAAAGAGAGATGATCCTCTGAAAAGGCAGGGCTGCAACAAATCTGCACAATTGGTGGTTGACAAGGGAAGTAGGTTTGCACAAAAAGACTAGGCAGCCAAATCTAAGAATCACGTTAAGGAGGTGCACATACTTGCGCATGAGAAATGGAGAAAACAGATACAACGTTAGTAACATCAACTGAAAGGCAGGTAGTAACATGTGTTAGGTGGAAAATTTTGCAATCAACCACTGGAGATTTCTGTAACACTGAAAAAAAAACAAAATAGCAAACAAATAATGGGCACCGAAAATAATGAGCAAATGGGAAGGTAGCTTCAAAAAATCTGAAGGCAGCATGTAAACCAAGAGATAAACAAAGAAGACAAAGAATAAAAAAACAGGTAACAGCCTGTGAGGTATTTTCTGCCGTAAGGAAGTTACTGTAGAAGGTAAATATACTTGAAAGGAATACCATTCTATATGACTGGTAAATAAAGTGAATCAGGTTATCATCTCCTCCCTCTATAAATGCTGAAGTATGTTCGTAGCATGGAGGACAGGTAATATTATTTTTTCTTGTTTAGTGGAAGTGGAAACTAACACTAATAATTGATATATCAAACAGGCAATGAGACAAGCGTTTTGTTTACCGAATTGGATATAGATTAAGTTGAGGTAGGGCAACTAACCAAGGCAGAAAGAAATTGTGCACGTTAACTAATGGTAGGATAGCAAGGTGGCAGTGATATTCAGATGATGAATGACCAGAGCTGTGAAAATATATAGCAAACTAAACAAACTCTGGACCTGTCAACTACAGAATCTGTGAAATGAGGAAACACAGGTATGTTATACAAATTGCATTGTTGAGGTAAGACAACTCACCAAGACAAGAAGAAATTCTGCACGCTAACTGATGGTATATATAGCAAGGTGGCTGTAATATTCAGACGATAAAAGTCCAAACCTTCAAGGAATATACAACAAATTAAGCAAACTCTGCACCTATCAACTGTAGAATTTGTAAAACAAGAAATTGTGTATGTGGAAATTCCAGCATGTTCCTACAATCTGAGGTGACAGTGTGCCGAGCTCTCTAAGGCAGCAGGTCGTGCGGAACGTCTTAAGAGACATTTCATCAAACACCAAGGGAGCGTCTCTCTGTAGCTGCAGTGGGCAAGTAAACCGCAATAACTTGCTGTTCCAATTCATCTTTCAACTTTGGTGAATACCTGTAAGGCCTGATTGTTACAGGGTTAGCACCAGGAATCAATGGAATCACATGATTGCAAGCCCTATTAGGTGGAAGCCCAGATGGTGCCTCAAATAAATGAGCATAAGCCTGAACCAAATCTTACAAATCCTCAGGAATATCAGAGAAATCAGGCAATGAGTTCTGTGTAGTAGCACAACAGAGTTGCAATAAGAGATGCTCAGGGGTTCATCATGTTCAAGACCTTGCAAATGAACCATTGATCCTTCATATGGAACTGTAGCCACTTAGATTTCCAATGAATTTGCATAGGACTATGTTTTTCCAATCAATCCATACCAACTAGGAGATCAAACTTGGTGAGTGGCAAGATCTTCAAATCAGAATGGAAAGAATAATTTCCTATTGAACATGTAACATCATATAGAATTCCTTCACTGAACAAAATGCCACCACCAGCTACATGAACTGAAGTGCGACTAGCAACCATTGTCTGCGAGCTCAACTGCTTAACAATTCTATCACTGATAAATGATGAAGAACTACCAGAATCAATGAGTATAGAAAGGGGTAGACCTTCAATGTTGCCAGAGAATTGTATGGTTCTTGGAGCAGGAGCACCACCAATTGCAATCTTGGATAAAGCTAAGAACAACTGTTCTGGCTGTTCTGTGGAAGTATCCAATGAAGAGCTGCAATCATCAACAGACAATGACTCCCATAAATCATGAATAGCATGAAGAACTTCAGGTGCACACTTGTGATCTCTTGACCACTTCAGACCTCTCTTATAACATAGTCCCATTGCTTTACGATACGCCTTAACAGCCACCAGCTTGGAGTCCAGAGGAGAACTGGTACTGTTTTCAGCAGAGGCTTTGAACTTGTCAGGCTTAGGAGGTGGAGGCAAGGGCAACGCCGTCTTGGGAATATTGCTGAATAAAGAAGAAGAAGAAGGGCGCGCCAGCTCTTGAGTGCCACCGGCCTCTTCCTGCAACAATGCCAGAGTACAAGCAGCATCCAAACTCTTGGGGCATTGAACAAGTAAGATAGCACGCAAATCGGGACGCAACCCATCTATAAATCGGGTAATGAAGTAAACATGGTCGACACTTTTGTTGTAGGCTATCAGCTGATCAGTGAGGGAGGTGAAACACGCCACATAGTCAGAACTGTGGTGGTTTGGCGGATGTGCAACAATTTGCGCACAAGAAGTTCATGCTGATCCCAATCAAACCTATCACGGACCATGCTACAGAACTGATCCCAAGTGGTGGTAGCTAACTGAGACTCAACCAAGGTTTTTAATTTCAGTATCGCCAAAATTTCGCCCACCACCGAAATTACCGAATTTCGCGAAATTCGGCCGAAATTTTTTTAGAGATTAGCACATGAAGTAGGTTTTTTCTAAAAAAAAATTGGATCTAAACAAATATTAGTATGATTTATGACTATATATCTATTAAATAGAAGAATATGCAATATAAACAATATAAAAATATAAGATTATAGTTATATAGCACATGTATTAGTGTATTAAAAAATTTCAAAGTTTTCTTTCGGCCACCACCGAAATTACCGAATTTCATGAAATTCGGCCGAAATTTCGCCGAAATTTTGAACCCTGTACTCAACCGATTGCAACCAAAGAGCAGCTGCATAAACCATCTGCATGGTTGCCACCCGGATCCACATATGCGGCTCAAATGAGTACATGGAGAAGTAGTTTTCACAGCGAGTACGCCATAGGCGCGGGTTCTCGCCGTCAAACTTTGGGAAGTCAAATTTGGGTAAACGGCTAGATGAATTCTGATGATGAGGAGGATTTGGATGGTATGGGGGTGCAGGATACGGGACTGGAGGTATGGGGTAAGGTAATGGTGGATATGACTGTGCTGGATAAGGAGGGTGGGGTAGAGGAAACGGAACAACGGGACGGGGCAGAGGATTCGGCGCCGGCGGATACGGCGGCACTGGAGGAGGTGCACGCAACAGAGGAAGGGGACGGGTTGAGACCATACCATTGGCCGGGCCATGAGTTGTGGGTGTTGATGACCCAAACTCAGGAACCCGTGTAGTCATGACGACATGGTGCCCGTTGGCCGATTTGGCGACGCCAGCAGACGAATCCGCGGCCGCCGGAGCAGAAGGAGCCATGACGCCGGGCTGGTGCGACGATGCGTCGAACACGCCGCGGTCGTAGTTCCGGGACACCTTCTGAACTTGGGTACGGAGGTCGTCGACGATCCCCTCGAGCTCGGGACGCCACGCGTTCACGTCACAGCAACCGTCTCCAGGGCGGTGACGCGGGCGTCGCAGTCGTCGTCGGTGATGACCACGCGATTGGACTCGATCGCAGCCAATCGCTTGGTGATTGCAGCTTCGTTGTCGACGCAGGCTGACTCCAACGTCGAGAGACGCTTGGCGATGTCGGGGTCGGTGGACGCAGACCCACGGGACTCCAACTCGGTGAGGCGGCGGTCGACGTACTCACCACGAGCGGTGAGGTTGCGCTCCAACCCGGAGAACCGGCGCTCCCAGTGCACCTCGCGGTCATCGAAGCGCTTGGTGAGGCCGTCGAGCTTCTCGATCATGATCTTCAAGTTGGGGTCCATGACGCCGCGCGCGCGCTGTCGACGGGTGAAGTTGGGGTGGTCGGGGACGGCGGCCTCCAGGGCAGACCACGGCGGTGAAGGGTGGACGGCGAACTCCAGAGCAGAGTACGGCGTGGAAGGGTGGGTGGATCGACTAAGTCTAATACCAGATTGTTAGCATCTACTTGCAGAAGAATTGAACTAGCATTCAGTTACAATGGTTCATGACCATCTCCCCTGCTCTCGACTCGCCTTAAGTACTATGCTTCTCTCAGCTACGCTTCATAGCCACTGTGGGCCGGCTACTCGCGGGTTGGGCCTGCGCTCGCGAGTGGGCCTGGAAGAGTGAACAGCTTCTGACGCCAGGTTCGCTTCTTGTGCCGGATGATGAACAGTGCTAACAAGTTTGTGAACTAAAGCTGCACTTGTTTTGTTTTACAGGTTATCTTCTTCACTGACCATGTCGACGAGTACCTGATGCAAATACCTTATAGACTACGACTACGAGGGCATGCAAGAAGTTCCAGAACGTGTCCAAGGAGGGCCTGAAGCTGGGCAAGGACCTCAAGGAGTCGTTCAATGAGCTGACTGACTGGTGGAAGGAAGTCCTGGAGAGTGAGAACGTGGAGTCGGTGAAGATCATGATCAGAAACCGACTGCACAACACCCCCCTGTGTTGTCGTGACCTCCAAGTACGGGTGGAGCGCCAACAAGGAGAAGATCGTGCAGGTGCAGACTGTGTTGAACTCGAGCAAGCAGGCGTACATGCGTGGCATGAGGGTGCTTGAGATCAACCCCGGGCACCCCATCATCAAGGAGCTCCGGGACAAGGTCGCCCAGGACAACGAGTTACCTGACCTGTTCTTTTTTCGTAAGAGCTTTACAAGTTTACACACAAACCATGGATGGGAGCAGGAAAAGATGCTAATTGATCAATGTTCGTTTGTTCGTTGATCGATGTTTGTCCATTCATGCAACGGTAACAAGAGACCGAGGAGTTGAAGCACACGGCAAGGCTGGATGTTGCGTATATATACATGTTGCAAGTGTATGTGTTCAAGTGTTCGAGGTGTTTCATATGTATGTTGCAAGTGTTTATCTAGATGTTGCATTTAGTTTCAAGTGTTTTCAGGTGTTTGCAAGTGTTTTAGACGTATGTTGCAAGTGTTTTATCTGTTTCGGACGTATGTTTCAAGTGTTTCATCTGGATATTGCAAAAATAGATATGTTGTTGCACATGTTACAATGGGACCCACCTACCATAGCCTTTGGAGTGTCGTGGTGAGTCACCATGCGAAGCTGAGGCCAGCAAACGCATCCGTGATGCGCATCCATAGGCGGGGCAGGTGACTGGGATCCACGTGGTTTTCCGCGTGTGCGAGTGCGACGGACAAGGAGGAAGCAGCGTGGCCCATGCGCGGGCCGTGCGCGCTGTCATATGACAGAGCGTCCGATATTTGGAGCAGCGTCCAGATGTCCGGGCGCTAATAACTCTAAATTGCTTAACCATTAGGCTAGCATCAATCATTCAACCACTCGAATGCCCGAGTATTTCTAGTTTCCTCATTCTATGCTAACAACTTTTTTGAGGACATGTTGGAAGGAAATAAATGACAGAATCCATAAATATGCATTAGATTTGATTATAAGAGCTCAATTGGTGTTGTCCTAGATGGGAGACCCTGCCATTTGAGCTTTGTACACAACCGCGTGTTGGTTAGACAATGAAGTTTATTTAAGTGTTGGAAACACTACCATAATTTTAGACTTCTTCTGGTGAGACTTCTCTTAGTGTTTTAGCATTTAAAATTTAGTATAAATTTTTACTACTAAATGTCTCCTAGTGAGATTCTCATATGCTATGACTAGTGGTAGTGTTTTATTACTATTTAAAAACACTAGGAGAAGTCCACCATTTTGGTAGTAAAATCACCCTAGGGCCGTAGACAGATAACAAAATTATTGAAAGATTTATTTATCATACACGGAATGATGGTAGAAACATCGAACCCTAGCTAGGTGTTGCCTTTGCTTCCTGTGCTATCTAGCGAATAGCTAATGACCTCATCTTGACCACATCATCATCTTCATCATCGGTGAGCTCGTCTTCGTCCTCCGCGTAGCCCAAGAGGTCGTACTGCTTGACTAGGGCGTTCCGGTAGTCGGCCCACTTGCCATCGATGTACTTCGTCATAAGGTACTCTCGACGGAATGACGCAGACTTGCTGGAAAGTGTCTCGGCGGAGATGTCGGCCGGTGATGGTACGTACAGGGTGGACGAGTCCTGAGGAACTGGATGAACTCGGGTGTCAACGGCGTCTTGACCACCTTCTTTCGCTTCTTGGTGGGCTGGGTCTCCTCCGCCTTCGCGGCGGCCTCCCTGGCCTTGAGCCAGCGCTCCATCCCTCCGGGGACATCCCACATCTCCCTCCAGAGCCCGTCGGCCGCAAACGCCTCCTTCTTGAGCTTGAGGATATGGCTTCCCTCCGACGACGTGCTCGGCTCCTTGTTCTCCGTCGTCCCTGTCCCTTGTTGGTGATTTCCTCCGCCAGCTCCGGCGTCTTCCTCTTCATTGCTGCGGCTGTTGATCTGCTTTGTTAGAAGATGGACTTGGAAAGGAAGGGAAGAGAGCGGTTACGTGTGGCTTTTATATATTGCCATGCCCCGCGTTCGGTATCGGAATCGTATCAGTATCGGATCCAGTTGATGAGCAGTACCCTCCCTCCCTCTCGCGCTCTCTTGAATGGTCACTTGTTACTACGTGTGGTGTCATGTCAGATCAGATTAGATGATGAACCTCCGCTCTATCAGTACAAACCCTTATAGTTCCTTTTCTTTTCTTCCATATAAGATCAGGGAGTTCTCACCCAACAATTGGACCGTGATCGATGTGGCACAACACAATATGTCGCCATGTCGATTGTCTGGTATTTGATTCAGAGAAACTGTGTAAACCTCAAGTGTACTCACTGGAAAGCCAGGTTCCGTGAGCCCAAATGTGAAACGGGGTAGCTTCACGACGGCTGCTATGTATTGTACGAGTACATCCATGTGCCTCTGCGCCCTTAATTTCTCATGCCTACAGATATAAAAACACAAGCCAAAAACTGGCATGGTAGTCTTATCTCAACATGTCGAAAGCCACATCTCACTCAACCAATTCTGTTTCATTACATGCGGCACCGTGCAATCATCATTGTGCGCCGACGTCGATGGTCCAAGCTACATTGCTTAGACGACGGCCAAGCGCTGCAAATCCTTGCTGTCTTAACATATTGAGTTTCCGCGATCTTAAGTCAAAAATGGCACTGCTTGTGCCTGCAGTGATGAATGAAGTCAATCGCAAAGCCTCAACTTCACTCAAGCCAAAGCCAAAGTCTCTAACTACTGATTTTATTTGTAATTCAAATAGTAAGTTCAAACAGACCTACTGCCTGATTACGGACCTGATTTGAGGGCAACACCATGCCACATGTCAGGGAGTTACAGGGTAATAGCCATTTCCATCCACCAACAAAATTCAGGTGATATGCAAGATCGTTCACAGGCTTCGGTCTAACAACGAATAAACAGAGCCAGAAGCACATTGAACTCACAACTCTGTACTACACTTGTACAGCCATCAGTAACCAGAGTCCAAAACATACAGGATACATCTCACTGTCTCAGCGCAACACTAGCAACCACCTTCACTCATTCGTCTTTCATGGTACATTAATGCGCGTTTGAGTTTTTTCAGGGATTTTTAAGAGATACTAAGAATCCACGAAGAAAAGAGCACACTCAAATACAATAGGTATGAACTTCTCCAAGAGTACCCCAAATTTTACTTCCCATCCATGTTTTTTTGCCAACTCCCAAAGTAGTATGGGGAGGAAAAAAAGAGACCATCTCCAAGAGTATCCTATATTTGACTTCCAAAATATCAAAATTGTGGACCCACAATAGTTTTTTTTGGGCCACGTGGATCGCATCGAGAGGTTGAGTGGAGTAGGCGGCGCGCCCGGCCACGGCCAGCGATGAAGGTGCAGTGCGACGTGTGCGCAGCCGAGGCGGCCTCCGTCTTCTGCTGCGCCGATGAGGCCGCGCTGTGCGACGCGTGCGACCGCCGCATCCACCGCGCCAACAAGCTCGCAGGGAAGCACTGCCGCTTCTCTCCTCCACCCCTGCTCCTCTTCTTCCTCCGCCGCCGCACAGAAGCCGCCGCTCAGCGACATCTGCCAGGTACTAGCTAGCTGTCACAAGTGTTTCCGTCCAATCAAGCCAGCCTGATCGAGCTTGGACTAGCTCGGATGATGTTGATGCTGTGGTGCTAACCGAGTAGCGGCGCTACCCGTCGACGTGCAGGAGCGGAGGGGCTTCTTGTTCTGTAAGGAGGACATGGCTGAAAGCATCTAGGCCCCTAGTTGGATTTCGGTGATTAATGACGATACGAGATTACTATGACTAACGTGTGTTTTGCAGAGTCAATTTAAGTTAAGTCATGGTAATGGCAATTGATTGGGCAATCATGGTTGCCATGCCCCTGTCGATGAAAATCGTTTCGGTTTTCAAAGGATGGACGACAAGGTTAAGGACGGACTAGTTCTAAGTGTCGTTTGGTGTTGGAGAGACACTTAGAGTAGTTTCGGACTTTGTTTTTCCTTTAGCCGTACTATTAAGTGGGATATGGACTAGTAGCTTAACCTAGGTGAGTCTAGTAGGTTAGGTGTGGTGCACACTTAACAAACCTAGCACTAGGTAGCTCAGGAATAGCCCTAAGATCAATTGGAGCCAATTTCATTCATATAGAATTTCGAGTTGGAAGTGAATGGAGGGTCAAATGATTGACCGGACGCTGGTCTGGTTGTAACCGAACGCTGGAGGGTGAGTCCGGTCAGTTCATCTGATCAACTGCGGTCGTCTGGTACTGACCGGACGCTGAGTGGAGGAGCACCGGACGCTGGGGTGCCTGCGTCCGGTCGACTCTAGAGAGGTTCGAGAGAGGCTCTTTCTTGAACGGACGCGTCCGGTGTGTGCTG